ATCTATTCCTCTAGAGTCTCTATATAGAGGAGAAAGTTCCTAGAATTTTAACCCTCGCGCTACTTAGTCTTAGTATACTTCTCGTATACGTCGAGTATACGGGCGATCGGGTTATCTAACTCGTCTAGTAGCTAGTCCGTAAACTATCGCTAGGTACGGTATTCCTATAGGAGCTCCGGTAGCTTCTCGTTATAAAGCTACTATTTCTACTATAGTTCCCTAGAGGTTCCCTCTAGGAACTATATAGCGTAGGTAATCTTAGACCGATCGGAGTCGTAGGTATACGGTACCTAGAGGAAAGCGATCTCGTACGCTATATACTATTTATAGTACTCCTTTAGGCTTTTACTCTTATATATTAGAGGATCCTTAATAGTTCTCTTAGGTAGTAGCCCGTAATCGGTTAAGGAGGCTATCCGCTTACGGCTATCTATATAGGGTCTGCTAGCGGTATATAGTATCGGCGGGGGGCGCGATAAGGATAGGACGGCTTCGGATTCTAGGATAGTAGACTTCGAAGAGTTAGCCTAGCGGCCTATTTCCTTAGTAAGCTTTTCGTTGTCTTTCTCGAGGCGAGTAAGCTTCTTTAGTAGGAGCCTCCGTTACTCTACCTTTGCGTCCGCAAACCGGGCTGCTAGCTATTCGTCGTCGTCGTTACTACTTCCCTCTACGCCTATTAGTACGTAAGCGTCGCTTACGAAGTCGTCTTCTTCGACTTTCTCGATCCTAGGCGTTCCTTCTAGGAGAGCTCCGCTTATAGTATCGGCCTACGATTCCCTACTATAGAGTTAATCTACCGGCGATTATTCTCGACTACTCGGCGCTTCCGAAAGTAGAGACGATTCGCCTAAGTCGCTAGTAGGGCTTATAGGTAGTATTCTACTATCGCTTAGCTATCGGGTCGCTATATAAGTTGTTCTTTTTAGAGGTATATCGGACCGCTATCCTTAGTAGAAAGGTTAGAGGATTATTATATTAGGATATCGTTAGAAGTAAGGATATATAAGACGAATATTAGGTTATATAGCAATATAATAGCCTCTATTCGTAATACTAGAATAATCCTAAAGAATCTAAGGAAGAGGAGGATCGTAGGCCCTCTTTTATCCCTACGAGTAGGGGTAAGCGACGTAGCCTTTATAGGCTTAAGCGACGTAGCCCGCTAGAGGTCCGCCGTCGGACTCCGGTCTATCGGCTAAAGTTCGGCTCGTCGCAACCTCTAATAAGGAAGACCGATCCTATTAGCTCGATGCCGAAATCTTTATAATAATACAAAACGAGATATTAATTATCGCCCTCGCGTATAATACTTCCTAATAATACTAATAAACTAATCTATAAATCTTTCTACTATCGATATTTCTTTCTATAATTATAGCCTAGGTTCTTCGGTAATAACGGTATAGGTAACTCGATCGGTATAGGCTCTTAAACGCGACTTTGTCTAAGAGCTATACTTTTCCCTCCTTATCGCTACTATAAGCGTCTTTATTATCGGTAGAAGGTAGATCGGCCGGAGTAGCGGTAGTAGTACTAAAGGTAGAGACGTTAGTATTTAGGCGATTACTACGGCCTTAAGCGTAGCGGATAAGCTCTAGATAGGTAGTATCGGAGTAGATATAGTTACTACTATAGAAATAGTATAAGCCCTCGCGGCGGCGGCGATCTCTCTCTTCGATCGTTATATAGCGGCGATTACCCTAACCCTAACCCTAACCCTAACCCTAACCCTAACCCTAAGTAGCGGAGAGGTCTATAGCGTCTAGGTTGTAGGCAGTTATAGTCGTAGTCGCGGTCGCGGTATTGCCGGCGTTACTATTATTATTATTTACTAAGATAAATTGTTCTTAGTTATTATATAGAATAGTATATCCCTATAGGGCGTACTAATTACTAGGGCCGCTAGCGTTATTACTACTATAGTTAGTGTTCGTAGAACCTTAGTTAATAGTATTACTCGATCCTAGCTTAGTATTATCGCAGTTGCTTTCTACGCGGTATTAGTAGAGTCGATTATCGATAATAGTTAGTCGGCGATATAATACTAAGAAGTTAGTAGGCTCGTTATATATATTACTAAGCGCTACCTTTAATTTAGAAGACAAGCTACGCTTAAGAGCGTTAACTTAAGCTCGGCCTTTATATCTAAGTAGGGCGTTAAGTCGATTAAACTCCGTAAGGTAGTAAGCAAATTCCTTATTCTTCTACTTTAAGTTATCTAGCTTATAGCTAGTAGTAGCAACCTCGTTAGAATCGCTAAAAGTATCGACTATTAGGTTATAGAAGTTATCGAGGTCGTCGAAATCTACGATTACGCCTAGTTTATTATAATAGACGTATAGCTAGACTATCGAGCGGGCTTTACTAGTAGTACGGCTATACGTATATATTAGCTAGTCTTATAGCGTTAGAAAGCGGTTATTATTAATTATTAACTTAATCGTAAGCTTAGTAAGGAAAGGCTTTAGCTTCTTACGGTCTCCGTCGTATTTCTCTAAATCTAGATACTTCTCGCTCTTACTATATCTAATATAATTATTATCGTCGTCGAAGCTATAGTTAAATCGAGGGCAGTAGGAGTCTAGTCGGTTACGAGATCGTAGTACTAGGTCGTAACCCGAGTTATCGTTAATATTAAAAGGATTATTCTAACTCTTAAAGTTAGTATTTAGACGGTCGAAGTATAAACAACTAAGATAGTCGAAGGCGCTAAGAGGTCGACGAGAGCTACTACTACCTAGTATAACGTCTTTAGGTACTAGGTATATATTAGATAGGCGACGGAATAAGGGTCGGCTATTATTTAGTATAGGTCCTTAGCCGCCGACCGGATTATATAATAAGGACGCTTCGGCGTTACGACGGGTATAAGTAGCTTATTCGCTAGCTCGGCGGGCGATATCTTCTACGAAAGACTATTATTATTATAGACGTACGGCTTACTAAGCAAGGTTATTACGTTACTAGTACGCAATATTTAGTATATTACGTACTACCTTAGCGGCTTAGCGTTAGTATTCTACTTCTATACGAGCCTATACTAGCTCGCTATTAAGGTAGGTATTAGTCTTATAATAAGCTTACTATACTCGCTCGAGCGTTTCTACTTCTTACTAGTATTACTAATAGAGAGTAGCTACCGACTAGTATAGCGTAGTTATACGTTAAAAGATATATTTAGTAGCTTCCTACTTATTTACTCTACTAAAGAGCTACTAGAAGTCCTAAAGGTTGCTAGGTAAAGGCTAATATAGTACATTATCGATGTCTGCGAGGCTAGGTCGTAGACCCTACGGTAGTTGTTGCTCTAGTACACCGTTTAACTAGGTACTAGCTATTCCTACTCGGTTAGGCGTATTTATATATTCCGAGCCGCTACTACGATTAGTAGGCGGCTATAAAGGATCTATAACGAATCGGCGGTATTACTACGGTCGAGTAGCTTACTATACTTAATATAGATTAGTATATAGGTCTTAATATAACGTAGGGTTTGTTAGCGCTATCGCGTAATAAAAAGCGTAAAAGGACGATAGCGATCGCCGGCGATATAGTTCTCTATATAGATAAACGATAACACCTACGACGTTATCGTAGGTAATAAAGGAACTCGTTATTCTATTAAGATATCGATTAAATAGCTATCTAAATTAATAACGAGTTAAAGAAGAAAGAGAGAGAGGCTCTCTCGCAAAAGAGGCTTTTATCCGCTCGGCGGATGCCTTAGGCATTAAGTTACGTAATCTCGAATTGTATATACAAGTCGCTAAGATCGTAACACTTCTTATAATTAAGGAAGTACTATAAACGAGGCTAATATTAAATAGCTTCTTCGATAGAATACCGTACTTAAGAGACTCTTAGCTTACTACTAAAGAATAGTCTGTTCTATAGTATACTTACGACTTCCTTATACTATTTAAAGAGGTTACCCTTAAGCTATAAGGCTATATAGTAACACTAGATTAGTACTAAGAAGCTATAGAATATATAAGAAGCTACCTTACTCGGTTAGTAGAAGACAATACTTAGCGTTAACCTCTTATCCGTTTAATTTAGCTAGTAAGATAGCTATTCGATAAGTACTATCGTCTTAACTAATAGACCTATATCTACGCCGTAGCAGTCCTTCTATATCTAACTTAGCGACTCGCGTAGTTAAATAAGTGCTTAGTAATCGATATAGACGCCGCCTTATTAGAAGCTAAGGCTCTATAGTACAATTATAAACAGCGCTATAGATATAGCACTCCTTACTTAACTTCTAACCGCAACCTCGAAGGTCTTACTAACCTAGAACGTTAGCAAATAGAGTTATAAGCCGACTTTATTACTAGCGACGAAGATGCCTTCGAAGCCTTTATCTATAGACTACTAATTAGCCTTCTAATTGTCGGTAAAGACTATAATAATAAGCCTGTTTATATAATACTAATTAAGTAGTAGATGTAGTAACAATCGGCTAATCTAGTACTCGTACGGCTTACTATCGATATATTATCCGCATTCGCTATATCCGTAGAGTCTAAGCGGACCTTTAGCAAGAGCCGGCGTACGATATTATAGGAGCGGTTGTTACTTAGTAGTAATACTATCCGTATAAGTAAGTGTTTAAAGAGTTAGTAGTCTATAGGCGTTGCTTATATACTATTAGAAGGGCTATATTTACTAGAAGGCGTAGAGCACGAAGATAATATATTACTAGCTACTAACAACGACTATAGTCTTTGAAATGGCATCCTTCTTAACTATAACACTTACTACTATATTAATTATATAATTATAGCGATTGTGATTGTTAATTAATTACTTACCTGAGATTGTAATTGTAATAACGGTTAGGTAATTGTAATTAATTAACAATTAATAGCTATACTCTTACTCTAGTAAGTGCTAGCTAACCTAGATTAGCATTGTTAGTAAGTATCGAAAGGTAGCGACGAAGGAGTAGCGAGAGATGTTGCTAGCGTAAGACTAAAGCGATTACATATTGGTATTGCTTACGGCTTAAGAACTTCTCTCTCTCTCTCTCTCTCTCCCTCTCGTGAGTGCTAGCTGTCTTGGACCAGTATTAGTAGGCATCGAAAGGTAGCGTATAAGGAAGGGAGACAATATCTTCATTCCATTCCATTCTATTCATTCACATTATGTTATAGAATTCCAATCTCTCGACCTAGAATGCTTTTCGTCACCCCCAAAGGGATCAGATTTTCTTTTTGTGCATTCTAACTCGCAACAAAGATTTTTTCTTTTTTGCCCCATCACTCCTGTAGAGATCTGGTACAGATTTGTTTTTTCATCATCATACAGATTTAAAAAAAAAATTTCATAGCGTCTCCCCGAAGGGTTCTGCGTTTTGAAATTTTTTTTTGGATCCGATGCATATATCACTTCTCCTCCTCCTCAGCAGCAGCAGCAGCAGCAGAAGCCTTATTCTCCGCCTTCCTCGCCCTCTTCTTCGCCTGCTTGGCCGCCTGCTTCTGTACATCCCTCTCCCTCTGCTCCTCCGTCTTCTCCCCCTCTCTCCTTAAAAACTCCTCCTTCTTCTCAGCAATCAGATCCGAACAAAGCGCTTTGAAACAATCGCAGCAGAGATTCATGTCTCGTGCCTTCTTGGCGAGTTTGTTCTCTACGGGTTTGTACCCGCTTCCCCATCTCTGCTGCTCGGCGTTCTTGCCGATGTATTTTCCCGTGGCGTCGTAGTCGGTCCAGAGACCGATGCAGTCCGAGCCTTGCTTGCAGAGGTTTTCGGTCCAGGAGTTTGGGTTTTCGCGGTAGGGGACGGGAGGGGGGCGGATGCTGGTGCTCTCCACGCCGGGGGTAGGGGCTGGAGGCGTTGGGTTGGAGTTGGAGTGCGTGGGTGGGCTTGTGCTTTGGAGCGGTGGGACGGTATTGCTATTATTGCCAGAAGTGATAGGCGCGACATGCTCACTCGTAGTGTCTGCGAGGCCACTGAACTTGCTCGAGCTTTCTATGGTACCCGCGTCGCTCGTCGTTGCAGATTGTTCGAGGTAAGAAATTAGATTGTCCTGGCCCTTGATCACTTTGAGAGCATCCGTGACCTTTGATGTGGCTTCCTGAAGTTGCTTCTCGCTCGCCGACATCTGCTTCTGGTGGTTGCGTTCCAACTTGGTGAGCCTCGTCTCGCTCTTCGCCTTGAGGGCATAGGTGAGTTTGGCCGACCATGAGACAATTTCACCGTTGCGCTGTTTCAGCTTCTCGATTCTCACGCGCAAGTCTGAATTCTGTGCTTGGAGTTCGAGTACGTCAGGAAGAGGCTCAGTCTCGAAGTCCCAGAGTCCGTGGAGAATGGCGCCAGCTACAATAAGCAAGTGGAACCATAGTGGTAGCTTTGAGGTGCTGACAGCACCCAAGGAGCTCAGTGCGAGGAGTGCGATTTCGGCGATTCCAGCGCAGCGGTAGTAAGTCTGGGAGGCGGTGGCGAGGATAGAGCGAACTGAATGCGGGACATTTTGGGAAGTGTATCGCTCGAGTTGCGGACCAAAGACGAAGAGATAGTAAACTGCGATCTCGAGGAGCGCTAGCAGGAGGAAGGTCGCGAGAGCAGTCAGCACAGCGTTGTGGGCGGATGGCGGAATGAGAGGAGTGCTGCTGTCGAGGGGCAAGGCGCAGATGCTGTCATTGCCACTGGCACTGGCGCTCGAGGCCCAGCACACGTCGAACGGTGACGTAGTCGTCGTCACCAAGGGCGCAGCTTCTTCAAACTGGTCGCCGATGATTGGTGTATCGAAGGCTGGTAGACTGGTTGGTGTAGTCTTGGTGAAGTACCATCCGATGCCGGCAGCTGTCGAGGCGCCGCCGCAGATAGCGGGCAGCGTCTTGCGCAGCGCGCGGAATGCCATGGCAGCGCGCGAGGTGGTGTCAGATGGTGGTGTGCAATGCTCTGTATGCTCGTGTTGGCAGTATTGGTGTTGTGCAAGGATGGGTGCTGCGCGTCGAGTTTGCAAGAGATGTGTGTGAAGTCTCGAAGAAAGCGGCGGAGCTTGTGAGAAAACAAGTGCATTGGCGAGCGGAGCTATTAAGCGGGCCGCAAAGCTTGGCGCAAGTGAGGTGAGGTGAGTTTGCGTCACGCTTCCTGCATGTGAAGCTGGGCAGCCTGGGAATCACTTGCTCCTCGCACTCTCCACGTGACTTGTGGCTTGATCATTTCCTCGTAGGGCTGATATGAACTAACGTACTACCTATGACAAAACTGCTTCTTTGTCGATCTGTGACCCTGAGGCATGTCACAAAGGATTATTGTCCAAAACCCTGACCATGGCGACCGGAAATGCGGCGGCAACCTTCCTGCGGATTGATGAAGTGTAGCAATATCTGTCGTGAATGGTGTGTATATATTGAGCTTTGGAATGAGAATTCCTGCCAAGCGCTCGATGAGGCCGAATCACTGTTTTTAGCTTGTACTCCGCAGCACTCGTTTCGATTGTTCTGGCTTTGTTACCCTTCCGATTGTAGTCTTCCTGGGTTTGCTCGTCTTCTGTGGCTTCTGCGGCTTATCTGGCTCTTCCCTGTGCAATCTTGGATCCGGGAAAAGAATCGTGAAACCAGCATCGACAGCGAGTTTCCTAATGTTGTCGAAGAAATAGAGATTAGAATCGTCTTCCCAGTAACGCGCGATCATGTAGAAGAAGATGGGGCGCCAGCTGTAATATGATTAGCAAGGCCGTCTTGGATCTCAAAGAAGAACTCATACTGGTAGGCAAAACCTTTCGACGACTGCCTCGCCACCCAAATCGACGTGAGTTTTAGGCAGCCGATGTTTCCGATGTCTTCCCACTCCGCAGTACCATTCACGAAGGATTCTCGGTCCGGAGCCACGGTTCTACTTCCCGTGGGATGTGGACCACTCAGCGAGCTTCTATGTTCGCAGGTATGCGAAGTGTATGCCCAAGGATCGTTTTCATCTTCCTCCGGCACCAGTCCTTCCTCGTAACGAGGGAATATCACTGTGGCGAGAATCTTTGGCATGTTAATTCAGCGTGGAGAAAGTCCAGGTTGAGCTTGAAAAATGTCCCAATATCGTGAAGAGGGATTGATGCCCATGCCTTCAGATCTGCTCTTTTCTTCGTACAGGTGTCACATGCGCAGTCTGCTTCATGCCGTGCCATGGCGAGACTCCGATGAAGAATTGGAGATAGCAGGTGTGGGATTGATTGAATTCAAAAGGTGCGAAGGAGTAGAGTGTGTTGTCCTGAGGAATGCACTGAGCAGAACGGTAGAATAGCATTCCAGCAGGGCACTGACTGTTGACAGATTTATCTCTTCCAGACATGGGTATGTGGAGATCATTATACGACGACATGCCAACCACCGTGATATCTTTTGAGGGCTTCATGGAGAGCGCGGCATGCACAGTACTGCGTAGGCGACGAAGGCTTTCGGACGACGTAGTGGGGGAGGGACGGCGGATTCGAAGGGGGGGGGGGGGGGGGGG